GCCGCCCCCCAAAAACTTGCTATCAACGCTGCCCGCGACCTTCTTCCACCTGTTGCTTACGGTGGCCACCCCAAGCGGTTATTATAACCGCCCCAACTCGTAAGAATTGGGCAATTTGGCAATGCCCACACGTGATCAGGGCATTAGATGATTCATGATTCATAATTTAAAGCTAAGGTGATAAGCGGATTTCAAGGACATCTTCGCTAGGTTGAAGCCGACGAGTTTGCCTCGGCTTGCTGCCACGTCTAGATAAAAAAGGTATTTTCGAGCAACGTGTTTGCCGCGTTGGCATCGGCGTAGAATGTCGACACAAAAATTGGGCAATTGGCAAGAGAGTTTTGGGATGGGAAGTGCATCTAAAGACTGTATGTCCAAAAGCGGGTGCTTCGCAAAAAGACTGAGCATCAGACTAAATCGATGCCTAAAAACCTCGCCGTAGCCTTTTTGGTTGAAAACTAGCTGATTTTACACGGTTCGTAAACTTGCAGTTATAACAAATAATATATTTGGTCCCTAACAGAGCTGATTTTTTTAGCTATAAAACAGGTTCTGCTACGTTAAAGGGGCTCTGGCAGCAGGCTCGTTTTTCCACGATTCGTGGAAGCGTCGCGGTCGGGTGCGTCGCGGCAGGGAGAGAAAGAGCGCGCCCAGAGGAGAGACGCAGACAGAGTTCTGCGTCTCTGCCCGGCCCCGAACTGCCGTAATCGGTGTGCTGCCAGAGCCGCTTTAAATCACTAATTACGATAAGTTATCGTCAATCTGACTAATTTTATGATCGGAAAGAGATACCGGGTGAACGCTGCTTGCCATTAATTAACATATACCTAACTTAATTTACACAATTATACATACTTTATAAAGCTAGCGTGATTAAGATAAACCAGGGTTGAAAAGCCGCTACGCGGCTTTTCACCCCTGGCCTTTGCGCGGAGATCTTGCGAGATCTTTGGGCACTTTCCATAATTCTAGCGAGTTAGCGCCAACCTCTCCACCCTAATAATCACAAAAGCGACCGACTGAGAGCGTGACAAAATCCGAAATGAGCTTCCTAACGCCTCGTATGCAAATGAGGTTGTTTCCATATGTTTTTAAATCGCTAAAATAAAATAGAAATCGTCATTTTATTATAAATCTGATAAGCTTGCAGTAATCTACGCCCTCGACTACCCCTAAATACCTTTCGACCTGGTCCTAGAATTGTTCCCCCTTCCCGATATCTTGGTAACCCGGTTTTTTCGAGCGATTTATGCAAAGTGTCCACACACAAACACACAAACACTATTTTTTTATATATAGTAGGATTATGCAAAGTGTCCACACACAAACACACAAACACTATTTTTTTATATATAGTAGGATTACCACATTCCTAAATTTGGCTAGATTTTATAATCATCTTTTTAAAGCAAAGAAAAAAGCCAAACGGTTGCGTTGATAAACATAGCCAGGCGGGTGACTTCGAAATCACGATAAACCGGGGCAGGCGGTCGGGGATGCTCGAGTGGTGGGGCCCGGAAATGAGGGATGTGGGCCCGCGATGCCAAGGACTCCTTCGGGGCCGGCTGGCGCGTGTGTGACAGTGGTTGGGCGAAATGGGGCTCTTGCTGGTTGGTGTGGCTCAACCGCAGAGGACCTCGCAATCAGTTGGCCCTCCTGGCGGGTTGGATGCTGAGCGGGAGCTTGAGGTGGGGGCCCACCCACCTGAGATGGATGGCCCGATTGGGTGCGACATGTGTTTGCACACATACACACTCCCGGGCTGGGCCCCCGGCTGCTCTTGGCCCGGGGCTGAGATTGAGACTCATGGCCACTGACTGTGGGCCCCAAATCATCTCTTGCCATAACAACAGCACAGCAGCACGTGTTTCCGAGGAGCTTATTGATAAAGTACTAAAATTGGTACTGGACTGTTAGCGGGGGGAGCGGGTAGTGGGTCGGCCCCTTTTGCCGATCTCCTCGTAGGGTCCCAATAATAAATATACACCATTTACTTGGTTTCTACGTTTTTACATCAGAAAGCTCATAAAGGATTACTAAAATTCGGATTGCTCGTCGAAAAAGCATAATTTGGGAAAAAAAATTAGCCTACAAAGTGTTTTTACGACTTTTTAATAAGCAAAAACCACTAAAAATCTATAAAAAACGCTAAATATAGGCAAATATATTAAAACTTTCGATAAGCGGTAAAGCTAGGTAGCTCCCCTAACCCCCCGTTAAAAGTAAAGTACCCAAAAAAGCGCAGTCGCAAGTTTCCGGAAATGATTTGCATGTGAAAAGCAAGCGTTGTTTTAAGTGGTGAATTGTATTGTTTCAAACTGTATCCTATTTATTCCCTAACAACCTATTACAATCCTATCGAGCTTGATAAAGGACTTGTGCTGCTTGCAACAACATTTCGTCTTCCTTCCTGTTCGCTACGAGCTGAATAGCCAACGGCAGTCCCTCAGATTCGCCCAGCGGGATGCTGATCGCCGGAACGCCTAGAATTTATATTAAAAAAACGAGGGCCACACCAACCAGCCATATTAACAGATTGTGTATAGAAATCATCGGTGCTCTCGCGGGAAAAGTTGCCGGCGTGTAGGTGGGAGAAGAGGGGTGGCGCTCCTTGGGCAACCGGGGTGAGCAGCAGATCCACCTGCAAGGTAACTTTAAAAAGAATTCCATTACACAACGTTATGAAAAAATTTGCAGTGTGCCCTACTAGCCGTTCAGCGGGGACCCAATTTTCATACACACCGTTTTTAAGATATAAAAACGCATGAAAGTGAATTTTGACTTTTTGCTCAAAAATGTACGCAAGGGGAAAAGGCCAATTTTTTGGAACCTTCAAAATGTGTTTCGTTTGTAAATCCCTTTAATGAAAAACTAAAACCCAGCCCCCACTCTCACCTCGTCAAAAACCTTGTAGATTTCATTCGCTATTAGTCGACGTACTTTCAGGGCTCGCTCGAAATATTCACGACGATTTCTAAATCCAAAATTCGTGAAATCACCATTATCCCTCACCTTTTCATCAGGAAGTAATTCCCAAAGTGTATCCGCTTCTTTACTGTCGAATTGAGCGCCTCAGTCCTTGATGACGAATACAATTCGAACGTCGAGCTGTCCGAAGAGGATCGATGACCATACGCCACGCTATCGTATCTGCAGAAAGAACTTAACCTTGAGTTCCTAACCTCACCTGGCCATATTCGATGCAATATCTCCGCCTGAAGCCACGTGATAGCAAATCAGCGAATATTTCGTCAGCGGTAAAGAGACTAAAGCTATACGCCAATCAAAAAAAAACCTACATACCTGTCTTCACTTTTGCGCCCAATTTTGACAGAATATTTGCCGCCTTGTTCCATAGTTGCCACGATTCTAACGACAGCGACTCGTTGTGAAACTCCTAAAATCATAAAAAAAGTCGCGGTTGCAGACAACCTTCGGGACTCCAATAACTTTTCCAGATAAGTCAAATTGGTCTCTTTTCTGGGCGTTGATGGAAGTCGCGTCCAAAGCATCGATTCCTGACATTACATCTAAAAACGAAACAAAATGCTTGAGCTTATATGACTCACCAAAATACTTCCCGCAATCCGAGGCACTTTGGGCAAAAATCGCAGGGGCTTCGAGTGAATTTACCAACGGGATGAGACCGCTGCGGGATATCCGCTAAAAAAACTTTTTAAAATGGGTTGTAAATTTTGTTATAGCTTCTAAAGTGAAGTCTCACACCGCACAGCATTCCAAACAGTCAAACTTACCCCATAGGTCGGCTTGAAGCCAAAGGTTCCGGTGAAAGCTGCCGGGTTGCGCACCGAACCACCGGTATCCGAGCCCAAAGCACTAAACTTTCAATTAAAAAAGAACTTTTTGTGGTTACCAATCAGCCATGCCCATTTGTACAGCCACGCCGGGCCCTCCCGAAGATCCACCCGGAACAATCCAATCCTCGTCAATCGATTCGACCTTCGACAATCCATTCTGCAAAAGGCTGCCCTAACGATCTCTGAAGGAATTACCCACCTTTACCGGCCCAAAATAACCAAGTGAAGATGAAGTACCCATCGAAAATTCGTCCATATTACCTTTCCCGATTAGGCAGCCGCCTGAATATAAATCCCCCTCATTTTATAAATAAGGTACCTGAATCGATCAACCTCTGAGCGGCTGTAGCCGAATATTGCGGCACGAAACCCTCGAGCATCTTGGAGGCACATGTCGTCGGAACGCCTTGAACACTAAACAGTCAATAAATAGCTGTAAAAGCTGCTACTCACGTAAAACAGTCCTTGATGACGACCGGGAAGGGTTTTATGCCCCGGCTAATCGCGTTCTGAGCTTGTTTCCGAGCCAAATCAAACGTCTCCGTGATCAGGGCATTCAACGCTCGATATTTTATAGCGTTTGCGATCGCAGCTTCAATTCGTTCCATCTCGAAATGCAATTAAAATATTTTAGTTTGTAAAAACGTTTAGACAAATTGTTGTACGAATAACTACTAGCGACGGTCCTACCCAATGCGAAGCCTGCAATTCGGCTCTCTTTAGAGCAGCTAATCGAATAGGAACGAAAAACTTTTCAAGATCGCTTGTATAAAATTCTTGGTTTTCGAAGTTTAAAATCTTGTTATTTTTGTTGGAGGGCAACCGGTAATTAAGGCCTTTTGCGCCCTACTTTATCCTTATCTATATTTTTAAAACTGTTCTCTTATGTTCTTATACTTTCAATTTCCTGTTGCCGGCGTGAAGATGCTCGGAAACTCATAAACCGGGCTGGAATTATTTACTCATTTAACATTATTCTTTCAGATGGTTGTTGCGACAACCATCAGTCGAACAAACCAATGGAACGCTCAAGTCGATCAGCCGCAATGCATGGAAGACCTGATCGCGAAGGTCACCAGCAAAACCCTCGACTTCGAGGAGATATTGTTGGAACAACGGGGCCTGAAGGAGGTATAGATTTTGTAAACAACAAACACTAGTTTTCAGGTTCCGTTTTCGGGTATGGACAAGACTGGCAAGGGGGTCTGCCTATGGCATCAACAGGGCAATTGTCCGTACGGCCAGAAATGCTCCCTCAGACATATCGTTGGCGACAAGCAAGTGGTTTGCAAGCATTGGCTCCGAGGGTTGTGTAAAAAGGTAATTTTTTGGATCCTGGAACTATGATATGGACTTCTTTGCAAAGATTTCCCGAAATGGGTTATTTAAACGTTTTTAGGGAGATGGTTGCGAGTTTCTCCACGAGTATGATCTAACAAAAATGCCGGAATGTTTCTTCTTCTCAAAATATAGTAAGCTTACATTCGCGAAACTTATGGTTTTTAGTGGCTTGCTCCAATCGTGAATGCCCTTTCCGCCATATTGACCCGGAGAGCAAGATGAAAGATTGTCCATGGTATGATCGCGGTTTTTGCAGACATGGTAACGCAGCACCAGCTTTTCCTTAGATTATATTCTATTCAGGCCCCTACTGCAAGAATCGGCATCGAAGGCGTGTCATCTGCCCAAACTTTGTTTTCGGATTCTGTGCAGAAGGTTTGTCTTTTTTCCGAAACCAAATTATGTTTCTGTACAGGCAAAGAGTGTAAATTTGCCCATCCAACATTCGAGCTCCCAGCCGCCGAAAATCCGATCACCAATAAGTAAGCATTTTCAACACTAATTAAATCTATAATTTTAGTAAACGGGGAGGTTTCTACAATGCTTCAATTATTTGTCATAATTGTCACGAGAAGGGCCACAAAGCGACGTTCTGCCCGAGATTGCCGGGTTCGCAACAGGTATTCTGATAAAGCAAAAGTTTGAAACACACTTTCAGGGCGGTACGGCGGCGGCTCCTCAGCAGGCATTCCGGGTTTTCGACGCTTCGATGATCCCAGAAAAGAAGAGTCTTTCAGAAGTCACCTGCTATAAGGTGATTGCTTTTCTCTAGACAAAACTGTTGATTTAGTGTGGTGAGAAGGGTCATTACGCCAATCGATGTCACAAGGGTGTGCTGGCCTTCCTTTCGAATACCGCCCATTTGGCCCAGGAGCAGCGCGAAAAAGACGAAAAGGAGGGCAGGTATGGACGACTGATAAATTTTTCTTTTAAATAATTTTTTTAGGTTTTTCTGATCTCAACACTAATACGGTCGGAGGGATAACATTTCTATCGAATTTCACATTACAGTTCATCTTGTCTTGATATTTTGTTACGTTATTACCGGTTCGAAGGATAAATGTTCGTTTGAGTCTTGTTTCTGACATGCCTTCTCAGGTTTTATGGGTCGCCATCCCTTTAGTTGCCGTTGTTCCAGTCTATTCCTCGGGCCGTTCACCCCGAATGCGCGTTGGGGAATGCGTTGCGTGGAAATTCCACAGCTGCCTTGTACCGGCCGCAGCGGATATCATCCTGGTCATTTCCGAGGGCTTGGTCTTCCAATCATGACTGGGACTCGGAAATACGTTCGGTCCCGATTTGTAGGCGAATCAGAATTATTTTTTCAAACTGCTATTTTATCTACGCCTCCATTTTCTCCCTTCTTTCCCTACCGACCAATACTTCAATTCTAGAGCGACAATGCCCGTCAAGCACTGCCTCACCGACGCCGAGTTCAATACCGCCGTGGCTGGCGCTGCCGGCAAGCCCTACATCGTTGACTTCTTCGCTGAGTGGTGAGTTTTCAGTTGGAATCAGAATAGCTATCTCTTACCGGCCAAAGTGGATAATATTCTGGTCGGCTGTGCCAAATATCAAATAGAACGTATTGTTCTCCGAAATAGGGCAGATCTGGAATTATAGATATTCGAGAATTGACTAAATATTGCCTGAAACACCCCCTTTTTCAGGTGCGGCCCATGCAAAAATATCGCCCCGGTGTTCGCGCAGCTGTCCAACAAGTATCCCGGCGTCGAGTTCATCAAGGTCGACGTCGACAAGTGCCCAGGTATTCTTTGGTGCGCTATTTATTAGACCTTGTCCAGACACCGCCATGGCCAACTCGGTCAGCGCCATGCCCACTTTCAACATGTATGTCAACAAGTAGGTGCCTTTCGGAAATGGGCATTCTTGGGTTTAGCGCAAAAGTCGGAACACTCCGGGGAGCTGATCCGAGTGCCCTTGAGGAGCTGGTGAAAAAGTATGCTGATGCTGGGGCGAGCGTTGACGTAAGTGATATTTGTTTTTGGGACCAATTTGGCTGTTCTAGGCTGCTGGATTCCTTGACCTGTCTTCATTTATCAACAAGAATCAGTCCGAGGCGATGAACAACGATGATGACACTCCGCTAGATCAATTTTTGGAAGGTATGATTTCGGAAAATTGACAACCTTTTAAAAAAGTTTAGGGCACTAAAACTATTCTTCAATTTTGCGCTATCGATTTCTTTCTAGGCCGTTGCAACTTGCGATCAGACTGTGATGAGCAATTGATTCTGTCGATCCAGTTCAACCAGCCCGTCAAGATCCACGATTTGCTCGTCAAGGTAATCGTTCCCATTCCGTCATTATGCTTATTTAGGGCGCTGGTGATCGAGCACCAAAGAAAGTGCGCTTGTTCATCAACCTCCCAAAAACGCTGGATTTTGACCACGCGTTGGGCGCTGAGGCCGTGCAAGAAATTGAGCTCGATGACTCCTCGAAATCAGGTTTGCTAGTTTTAATGCATTCTTCTTAGTTAGTTACTTTAGTCGATGGTCAATCGGTCCCGCTGCGATATGTGAAGTTCCAAAATGTGCAGAACATCCAACTCTTTATCGAGAACAACCTTGGGGGTGGTGATGTTACCGAGCTAAGCGGTTTGAAGGTATGCTTAAAATTTGTGGAAGAAGTACCCTGTTTCTAGTATGCCTGAACGTCAAAAACAACTTTTTATTTCGAAACACCAAAACTATAATGTTTGAACAGAAATTTAGATTTTGAGGAAATTCCCTAATTATTTGATTTAGTTCATCGGACAAACCCTGGCTGCCATGAACATGAGTGACTTCAAGCGTGTCTCCGGAAAGGCTGGTGAAGTCGACCATTGATTGAATCGTCCCGATGTCCTCTTCAACCATTTTGATATCAGTACTTAAACCAGTCTATCTTTGCACGGCGTTCTTTCATCGTATCTCATCTTGCTAGAAACCCATCCTGTGCCCTTTGCGGATCACGCGAATACGGTTTAATTTATGTGCTATTAAGTCAATGTGTTCCAGATTGTACGGTGAAATTTTGCCTATCGGATAAATTGTATTTTCGATAAAGGTCCGCTATACACATTTCGGTAGATTTCCGATAAAGTTTTTGGAGTTTTACACGTGGAATCAGGGGCAAGGCGAATTTTTGGTCAAAATGGATGTCGAACGGTTGATGCAGGATTTGACCGTGGAACAGCTTGATAACATCCATGGAAGCTTATTGTAGGATTCTTCAAGTCATGCGTGAATAATTTTATTTAGAAAAGAAATGGAACAGAAAAAGGAGGAATTACGTGAAATGGTGGGTCGCAGGTACAGGGATGTTCTCGAGGCCAGTACGCAGGTAAAATGCGTAAAAATAAAAAAAAATTCGTGATAGCTCCGGGAAACCCACGCTCAAGCGGCCAAACTTGCCGATCTCGTCGCCAAGGCTCGCACTCTGGCACCACCTGATCCACCGAAGCATCATCGCGATGAAGTGCGATCGCTGCTCTCATTTATCGCAATCAATCGCCTGTTTCCCGTCATTGGATCGGTATGTTTTGGGCGAATTGCCTGGATACATGTTTTTTACAGGAAGCTGAGAATGCAGATGGCCTATCGGATGCGTTCGGACTGCTATTGGTCGAACAAATACACAAACAACTGCTTTCGGATTCTCATCCACCAGCCGTAAGTGCCTCTTCTCACGCAATAATTGAGCGTTTTTTAGATCACGGCGGTTCTTCCGACATACGCACCACGTATCTCACGACTGCGACGCTGGCTCTGTGGACAGATGACGGAAGAGCTGGCTGGACTGTCGAGGCCGGATTGGGCTGCTGTCCAGCTTGCCTCCATGGCCCTTGTCCAAAACCTTGGCATCGAACAGTTGATGGATGCTTATCTGGAGGCCAGGAAGGTGGGCGCTTTAAAAAGGAGCCTGACCCACCATTTAGAAAAAGCTTCAATCTTTCCTGAAAGAAGAGGACTCGACGTTGCTCTCCGTATTTGAAGAAATCAAGTTCACTCTCCAGGTTGCTTTTTGAGCCATGTATGTATATAGCGTTTCTTCAGGTAGTCGAGAGACTATTTGTACGTGGTGACTTGTCGAGCTTGCTTCAAGCGGTGACCTCACATGAATATTGCCCAGGTACTCTAAATATCCTGTAAGTTATATTTTTCCTAGCTCTCCTTGCCGAGCTGCTCTCTGATCAGACGCTGGCCGTTGAGGGCTACATGAGAGACGAATTGAGCAAGGTTGGCGGAATTTTCTGGATTGATCGCTTCTAAGATTTTGCGAACTCAAATCGACCGCAGGACTGCCCATCTGACAACGCAGCGTATCTCGGAGAAGTGTCTGACTTGGATTGACGGGATCTGTGAAATTGTTCACCCCTCCGTCGATACAATTTGTAAATATCACGAAAAACCGACCTCGATTTTGGAGTTTCTAAAAGCGTTGGCTGTTGTGATGAATGAGGTAAACACGAATTTTGATTTCTCAAGAACTGTACTTTCAGGATTGGCCTCACGTCATCTCGGGTTCGAGCCTGTACCAGAAGATGTTCGGCGTCGCCGTGCTGAACAAATTCAAGGTAAACTTTGAGGGTGTGTCCGAATCGGTGTGCTTCAGGAGTTGCTGACGGATGAGGTTGAGGCACAATTCAGCAAAGTGCTGGGCAGTCTCGAGACAACCCAGCTGACCCCGCCGCCATTATTCGAGAAACGGGCCGCAAATCATTACGACACGATTCTGGCGACCGGACTTTCGAAGCAGTTGCAAAAGTATGTTCCAAACTCTTTCTAAAACCATTTTTAGAACCGTCCTCACTTTCCTACACTCTGTTCATGCCCTCCGTGATCTTTGTCTACAGTATGAAAAGGTAAAAATTGTGGGTTTTTGATAGGGACACTTTTCAAACTTGTAGTATGGTCTCGAAGGCGAAGCATCGAGCAGCAAGGTGGCATTGGCGAACTGTCTGGCCTCCCGCTTGATGAGGTGCTTTTTACTTTATGAACAATAGATTAAAATTCAGTCTCCCGAATCACGCTGACATCCGAGGGCTAACGCTGGCACGTATCGCCCTCGCCTTTCTCCAAGTCGATCCGACGTCCATTTGCGGCTCTCTCAACAGAGACCCAGCGCTGATCCAAAAGTGCTCGAAGGCGCTGAATTCGGCTGCTGAACAGGGCTTGACGTAAGATTTGGTTCATTTGTTTCGTAAAGTTGGACCACGGGGTATGCGGAAATCAACGAAATTCAACGCCATTGGCCTTAAAAATCACCCAAGATTTTGTTTTAGCCCTATTTTTAAATATAAAATAGCTATGATAAAAAAGCCAGGGGTTGTTCCTCATTTTATTCGGCTTGTGGGGAACGTCATTCGATAAAGCATCAAAGCATACACGAAACATTTTGGTTTAATAGGAGACCTTTGATTTTTATTCTGTCTGGTTTCAATAAATACTATGTGGTTCTGGCAAAAAAAAAATAATAAAATAAGCTGCAGAATGACGTTGCACCAAATTATCCATTTTCCAGAGCCCACGTGGAGAAGATGGCGCAGGATTTGCTGACTGATGAAGCCTTCAGAGCTTACTTAGCCACTCTAAGCGACCCGCTGGCTTCGTTGGAAATTTGTTCGGTAAGCTGGAAAAAATACTTTCAATTTTAGAGGGAGCACGGGGTTTTTGAAAGCCTAGTATAACGTCAGGCCGACGCGATAGATGATTTTTAAGTAATGGGAAGGCTGGTTTATAAGCGGAGGTGAAAGCATCCTTTATTACCCGCTACACAAATCCTAAAATTAAGCTCAACCTAAGACAGTTGGCCGAAAAAACGCCCCGCAACTGCCTCCCTGGGCTGTGGCTGGATGGGGTGCTCTGGCCTCTCTATCCCCTCTCCACCCGCCTCCTCTGCCTTCTGGCCCCTTTCCCGCACCCCTGTCCCCATGCGGCGATGTCCGAGTGGTTAAGGAGTTTGACTCGAAATCAAATGGGCTCTGCCCGCGTAGGTTCGAATCCTGCTCGCCGCGAACTTTTTGCTTTTTGCCCGTTTCTTCGTTTTTAGCCTTTGGTTCCATCTATAAAGTTTGGTATAGCGATTCTATAGCGTTTTTACCTCGTTTCTGAACTATGGGATCCTGTTTTCGGGGGTTTTCTTGGGATTTTTATTTAATTTGTCGCATCAAAACCAATGTTTTTCTTTGCGAGCTTGATTTTCACCATTTATAAGATTTTATAAATATTTATAAAGCTTGTGACGAGTAGAGTAAGAATTATCACGGGAGTTTTTAATTTTTCTTTAAAAAGTTGATGTTACTGGGTTATAATTTCTTCTTTTGGCTTCTCGCCCGAATGATTAAAATTATCGCCAAATTTCTTCGGGGTTTTAATATCGTACAAATCAAAATCGATGCTTTCCAGGAATGGGAACAAATGGAAGTACCCGAAATTGGTACTCTCGGCGTACCGATTGCCCCGTCGTCAGTCTTGATGGCGCTGTTGTGCTCTCTGAACCAGCACCTCGTCTCAACTTCCCTGCTCCACCTCCTCTCGCGTTCCGTTCGCATTTCCCTGGCCGACACGGTGGCCAATCGCCTAGCGGATCTCTTCTCGTCGATCATTGAAAATAACATCACGTTGCCGCAACGCGTTTGGATCCAGGTCTTGCATAATTTCCTACTCCGTACTTTGAGTTTTAGGTTTTGTTCGATGCCCGGATTGCCTTCTCGATAATGCCGAACGACAGGCTACGCACCATCCCGGCGGCGTTCGAGTCGCGAATCGACCCGTTCGAGCTGGCCGTCTTGGCTCAACCGCTTGCAAATAATGTGCGACAGGCGACGCTTCGGGCGCAGGTTTGCTTTTGGAAATTGAGGTGAATTCTGTTTTTTTAGTTGCTATGGTCGGGGTTAGCGGCCGACATTATGCCGATCAAGGAGTCGACGGTCAGCTCCTCTTTCATGGCGGTCACTGACCTGTTGCCCCGGCCGTCTGAACATCCCCAGCGTATCCCGGCCATCCCGCGACTCGATAGATCGGTTGGTTTTTTTAAAATATTAGACAAAATGGATTATCGAATAAATCTTTTTTTTTTTGTACTATTCGGTTCTTTGGCGTTATCTGGGGGAAGGGAGACTTTCGTCAGGAGCCAACCTGTCTAATATTAACAGAAGCATCTTCTACACCTTTCTGACTATTCCAAAATCTGGTTTTACCCCTTCCCCCGATAACGCAAAGAACCATATGTTCATTCAGATTGGCGAAAATGGCTTGAAAAAGATGCGGTCACGGGACGTGCGGACGAACAAGCTGCTGGCCGGAACAGATGGCAGGGGCAAAGGCATGATATTTCCCTTAATCCCTAAAGCATAATTTTCTTCAGGCAGCGCCCCGTCCCTCACCTCAATGTACGAGAAGGTGACTGGTTTCACCGGCGGCTGGTTCGGCAATTAGGACCACCTTTTTGCGCTTGTAACAGTTTTCTCTCTCGCTTTCAAAACAATTGGGTATTTGGTGTGTCTTATTTCACTGTGTTCCCTCACTGTATCCCCGCAATCGTCTGTGATATCAATTATTTATTGAAAACTAGTTTCTTTTTTGTCGGAAGCTTTTTATGGACAGTTGATAGCTTCGATTAAATAATAACAGTTCAAGTCGAGCGGAGGAACGCGAGGATTGAGCAAAACGGGGCGTATTGCGTGGGATCCTTTTTTTGGGGAGTTATATTGCTGAGGGGGGTTTCATATATTTCAACATTTTTAGATATCGGAAGATATGTAGCGCAGGGTGGCGACCGGGATAAGTTTCGCATTTTGGGCCGCAGCGAGTTAGGGGGACGGATTAGTGGAAAAGGCTTCGGTTCAAAAAAATGCCAAATTAAAACCATGATTTTGATTTGATTTAATAGTTATTAAGACCAGAATTAGATACCTTTTTTTTCAAAAATCCGCCGCTCATGCATAAGCAAAAGCTAGGGGAGGGTAAGGCAAGCCCATGGAGCGAAAAATAGCTCAGTCGCGAAATTACAAATATAAAAGATCGATGAATGGAATGAGAGCAGGCACTTACATTAAGGACAAACGGTTGGTGTATCCGCATTTGATTGTGAGCTGTCGTTTGTGGGCTACAGCTCGGTCTCGCATTGTCACCGGGGCGGCACCCGGGGTCGACGGTCTTCCCAAACGGGACGTCCGTTTTTTGATGATGACGGCCGGTCGGCTTCCAAGGCCTGAAAATCGGCATATCGGCTGTGATCGTGATAAAACCCCTGATATCTCCATTAGCGAAACTAACTAATGAGATAGTTTAGTATCGTTGGTTTTCTGCAACTATATTTTCCTTATAGCGTCGGCAAACAAAGTTAGATTATTTTTATATTTGAGGCATCAAACCTTTTAAAAATGCTTGAAAACTAAAATTTGGGGTATCAGGTAAAACCAACAAAAACCAAATTTTTAGACCGGCAAACCCGCCTTTCGTAGCGCCGATTTTCTTCGCGTTCGCTCGCAACACAACGCTCCTACGATCACGAGCAGCAGAACGCAAAAAGCAACGCCACCCGTCACAAAGATCTCGGTAGAATGGCCTGAAAATGGTTACTAAAAACCGTAACCAGAAAGACGTACAATGGAACTCATCGGAAAAATCGCCCTCGGCACAATTCGGCACGCCGTTGCAGACGAGCGACGGATCGATGCAGAATTGCTGACGTGGAGAGCAGATGCCGAGCCCTTGATCGGTGCATAGCAGGCCTCCATGACACGTAAAGCCGCCGTCACACGTTTCCTTCCTAAAGCGTAGCTCAGGGTGTAGATTTTGGAGTGGTATCAGATAGGTTGGTCTGATCCTACCGTGCTCCAGGCTCTGCTAGCACTGCTTCATCGATGATGCCATTGATGGCCGTCCAGATGAGTTTGAAGCCGACTTTCCATTCTTCAGAACCACGCAGAGGGGTGCGGGCCCCGGTTTGGAATCTGCCAAATGGTATACGTTAATAGGTAGCTCCAATTTTTTTTGAGCGCAAGCGGTTCTTCAGTATTTCATGTAGCTATATTTCGAGTGGAGAATTATTTATAAAACTTAAAAACTGTTCGAAAATTGAAGATGATGTTAAAAAATCTAGATTTATGTTTATTTTCATCATTTGTCGGCTATTGCACTTTGGAAAAGTACAAAACAGTTTAGAAACGTTAAAAATCGTTAAATTTTTTACGGCCTCAAAGCCACGCGTCTAAATTGTGTATGTCCTTGTTAGGGCTGCTGTTCACTTGCCCACTAAAGGATACCCACGGGGGCCATCTGGACGCGGGGCTCTATCAAATGGGATTAGAATACGAACGGCGATGGATAGAGAGAGAGCGAGGGGGAGAGAGAGAGAGAGAGCGGAATACTGAAAAGCCACATCCTCCGACCCCCTCCTACGCAAATTGGCCCACAACTCATCGCTGGCCTCTCAAGTCAGTCCTACTTCTCCCAGAATTCATTGAGTTTCTGCAATAGCTACAAGGTTAACGAAGAAGATTTGCGTAAAACCGTAACCTAAAACCTACGTAACGCTACGAAACAAAACAGGCAAACGGCCCACCGTATCAAAAGTCGATTTCCAGCCGAGATATAACTGCGTAGCCCCTCCTCCTCGTAGAATTTGACGTTGCCGCAGAACCTATTTTAAGGTACACTTTTTAGAAAATAACCCACTTGACTTCCGAATGTTCCAGCCGACGCTCCTCCCATCGGTGCGTCGCGGAATCGTGGCGGAAACCATCGGCTATCCACAGAGCTCCAAAATCGCATTCTTCTGCAAAACATGTATGTCGAAAGTGGAAACAAACGTACTGATATCAGTAATATTGAGGTGGAGCAGGCGTACGTAGATTCGTTGGTGGGGCTCGACCCGGATTAGCCATGAGCAAGAGATATTTTTGGGGTATGAGAGGGGAAATCCCGGCGACACCACCTCGTCCCAAAGTGCCCCAGCCTAGAATGAAATGTAGAAATGCACGATGAAACAGAAAAAAACAGTAGGAACGCTTCTCAAAAATACAAACCTCATTTCGCCCTCCACACCTCGCCTCATACGTTCGATCAGCGTCGTAATAAAACGAAGGCGGCTGTCGAATCGAGCCTAAAATTATTCGTAGAAATCCGTTCGAATAACATACCTTCGGAAATGAATTGGTACTCGATTTTGAAGCCGGTGCGCACGGCGTTTGAATACGAGTTGAACTCGAGAATTATCTAAAGAGTTTTTAAGTCGAGGCGACGATCCAGAACAAATTACATTTGACTGCATTGTCTCGAAAATCCTGTCAAATTGGTCACCGCCACAGATACGCTCGCCTAGAAAGAGGATATAGATTTTGCTGCTACCAGAATGTCGAAATTTATAACGTCCAAATTAATAATGTCAAGGTTTCAGAATACCGAAATTTCATGATATTAGTAAATCTCACAGGGAACCCCCAAATCATATGCCAAAATTTTCGGCATTCTCAAATTTCGGTATTATGGGATTTCGACATTTGAAAATAACAATCTATAAATTTAACTAACCGATATGCTGACGGCCCTGGCGATCGATGACGATGAGCAAGAGATAGGCGTCGAGACACTGGCCAGAACGAGGCGATCTGGGGCTCACGTCAAACTGTTGGAACACCAAGTGGATCTGAAGTCAAGGTGGCAAAATAGGCATTTGTACTAACGACGTTCGACGTTGATGTAGAAAGATTGTAGACGCAGTTGACTCGGTCCGGATAAGGGTCCGGCCAATTTGGGGAGTAGAGAAGCCCTGAAATGAACAAATAAGCTATTTTAATAAATAAAAACCTTATCATTTAAATTTATTTCAATAAAAAATATATCAATATTCCTGTGTTTTATAAGGGTTTTCATAAACTTTAGGTCCATCTTAAGTGGAAAAACTATTCAGAAGATTTTAAAAAATGTCTAGATCTGCACAGAAATTTAGCTGGCAAATTTTTTCTGTTTTTTGCAGAAATTTAGCTATTTTTAAATGCAAAGACTATTCCAAAAGTTGATGGAAACAAGTCAAAAATGTGCCCAAGGCTGATGATAGCAAGTTTTAACCTGTTTCTGATAGAATTTAACTATTTTCGAAGGAGTTCTATGAACTGTCCAGAATTCGGATATATGTCGGCTACTCGGGGGGATTTTACGCGGGGGGACGGACTTTGCTGGGGCCGAGCTAACTA